ATAATCAAAAACTAGGACTCTCCGCTTAATGCGCCCGCCGCTTATTAAGCCCAATTTGGTCAGGGCCCGAGGTGGGCTTAATAGCCGGCGACTACTGCATACACTAAACTAGTTATGAGGGCTTAATAGCCGGCGACTACTGTATTAGACGCGATACAGTCACGGTACCTTGGCTCTCAAGACTGAAAGCATCTGGCCGTCAGTACTATCATGTAGCAGGATGGTTACGTAAAACCTATCATAGCAGCGCTGAAAAATTCACTAGACAAAGCCAACGAAGAAAGTTTTTCACTTGGACATACCTTTCGTAACAGAATGTAGGTTTTGTTTTATGACTAACACTTACGTCACCAGTTTTGGGTGTCGAAAATTAGCACATGGCAGTTTGTCTATTGGCTTTGACAGGCACCAACATCCTTAAGAACGATAGCTCAATTCGATTGTAGTGGGAACGTTTGTAGCGCAGTCGACTTCACTATTTCTCTTCTCAAGTCTGGATCAAAATTCATGACTCACTGTTCTCTGGCAAAAAATCCTGACTGAATCACTGTCTTCAAGCACCGAGATTCCTCTGTCAGTACAAATGCTTTCTATGCCTGTATTTAGGCAGGCTGCAAAATGAGCTACCTAGGTTGGGCACTAACAATCTCTTATTTTGAGGATTCATCTCGTTTCGTACACTCCGACCATTACGCCATCGCTGAAATGTCCGGAATGTTAGTTCAAAACTCCCCTGCGCCCAATTTTCCAGCATATTTATATGTCTTGTTTTTTAAAATTTTAATTCGCATTCTGTACTTGTTATGCAAATGCTGCTAGTACTGCTGATCATTACTACTACTACTACTACTACTATTGCCACTACTGCTGTTATTCCTGCCGCTACTGCACATGTCAATATTACAACTACTACGGCTGTAGTAATTGTCGCTACTACTTTTACCCCTACCACTACTACTTGTGCAACTACTCCTACTACTAATATTATTTTCGCTACTTCTAATAATGCTGACCTCGAAGGAGGTAAACTGTACCACAAAATTCGACATAAGTATTTGCTTCCACAAAGAAACAGATGGAAGTCATGAGAACGTACCAGTGTAGTGGCTGAAAGGGTAACTATTTGCAGATCGCACCTATGCAAGTACATATTCATCTGTTAAACTACAGTTATCTCATCTTCTCTGATTTACTACTACACTCTATGAGTAGTCAGGAGATGCTCAGGTTTGACGTATTTATAGTTACGGTGAAAAGTTAGTTGCATAGAATGGTCACTACGCCTTTACCTTACCTGATAGCTAAGTCCAACACGCACCTAAACGTAGTGGTTTTGTGAGCGGGTAGAAGCAGGTGGAGTTGCTCCATTAGTCTCCAAACCCGGGGAGTGTGGACACGGGACCTGGTACAGTTATGCCAAAAGGCGTGGACATAGGCATTGACTTTACGTCAGGTCAGTCACACTGCGCAGGCTCACCTCTAGTTGTCCTGAGTTGGTCCTACTGTTTTAGCACGATTAATGTGCTCCATCTATGACCTTATGTACTCTTAAGTCACAACTTTGCCTCCTAGAGATTAGCCGTTATCTTTATGTTCGACGAACGATCTATACTAGTGTCTTTTTTGTGTCCCTACTTCACATTTTATGTGATTTGTTTATACTTTATGTTTGCTCCCTTCTCAAACAGTGTGTGTGCGTGTGGTGTGAAGATGTGATTAGCTTAATGCAGTCAATGACTGTAGGACGTCTATGCTTGCGTTTCTGTTGAAGGAGCTGCTTTCTGTTGGTCAAGCTTGAAGTTTTCATTTTATTACGGCGCATGTCGCAAAAACCCCTGTGTGTGTGCCAACGTCCAAGGCCCTGTTCCCTCTTCTGTACAAAATTTTGCATGACTTGTCTTCGCTACCAAGACAGTCCTGGTGGCGACTAGTTGGTGCTAACGCACCTCATCTGCTGACACTGCATGCCTGCGTACTTTCATGTTCCTATCGTTTGCTCATAGCTACCACCATCACTTCCCCGCATCAGCTCAAATTTTAGGCTCTCCCGCCAACGGCAAACCACGCAGCCCCGGCGGACAGGACACCTACGATGGCCAGGTCAACTTCCTCAATTCCATCATTGTTGATCTGCATGCGAAGAACGCCAAACTGGAAGAGCAGCTGCGCGAAGCTCTGAATCCCCGTTCGGCTACTTCAAAAAAGTTAGTTTGACGAAATATATATAAATGCTATTTATTATGTTGGTTTTTTTCCCCCAGTCGACAACAACGTTCTCCAAATCATGTAGAGCACTTGAATAAAATTTTGCTGCTTAATAAACGCACTGAGGTAGGCGTACTGTCGTGAACGTCATATGTCTTATTGGTTTCATACCGCAAACCAGGATGACTACTCATGATTAAATGGGTTTTCTTCTCGTTCTTCCAACAATCACAATCATTTTTTGTTGTGCAGGCTCGACTTATAGGCAATAGAAAGTTTCCTTCTTAAAGAGTTTGTTGCATTTACTGTTGTCCCATGAAAATAGAAGGAGGCCTTGACATATTTACTCCTCTGTGAATTTGACGTCCTTCCTTTTAGGTCGAGTTCGGCGGAGGCGTCAAAACCGACAGCTAAACTCCGTTTCTGGTGTGATCACTGTGAGGTCTTCGACCTCCATGACACCGATGCTTGCCCCTCCCTCTCGGCGGGTCCCCGGCAATCCAACCAACCACCGCGGCTTGCCAAGACCGTAGGGCCGTCAGTAAATCGGGCCTACTGTGACAATTGCGAAGTCTTTGATAAACACAACACCGAGGACTGCCCTGAAGTGCAGGCTTACTAAACCGTCTACTACTACTATCCATCGGCTGCTTTCGTCTCCCCACAATGTGCGTGTGTGTCGTGTCTCCTCATCTCCAGTCTCCTCCGAGCCCTTTTTTCACCTCCTCCGCCGGCAACGTGCTTCTCCACTTTCTCATTCATACCGACTCGTTTCTTTTTTCAGGCGCTGCTTTATGTCCACGTCAACTGTACTATCACACACTCCACTGCCCAAGGGGGTATACTTGTTCCCTTATTTGGGTGGCTTCTCTTTGTTCTTCCTAATGATGTGCAAGTACGTGTGCGAATGTGTTTTGCACTGTGCCCAGAGTATATTTTCCTGTACGCCCTCAGACCCTTTTGTTGTCCTTTTCTGCTAACCAGTAAGCCTTACAACGCTTCTGCTAGCTGGTTGCTAGCTGACACCTTGCATCTGTTCGGATAACAGCCTGGATATTGAGAGGCAGTAAACGCGATCGTTGGAACAATAGGCTTATTCGTCTGGCGTCTCAAATTTAGTCGCGAATCAATCGTAAAAGACAATATTGATGTGGGACTCGAGCCTGAGTCCGAAACTTCATCCGAATAAACTTCTTTCCAGCGATCGCATTTACTGTAAATTACCATACTAACAGCCTAGGTACTAGCTAATAGGCCCAGACACGTGTTTCGCCGGTATTCTGCCACTGCTTGACTTAGCTGCGAGAGGTCCGGCTCATCAGGGATCCCTCAGCTATCCCTGTGTGCTTTCTGGTCGATATACCGGTTTTGGAGAGTTCAGCTTCTTAATCACATCTACTTTTCTTAAACTGCTTTCTGAGACTCGCAGTTTACTTTGTATGGATAATTTGGATATTTTTTGTCCACTGGGACACTCCGCAAAGCTTTACGGATCACTCGTCGAATATAGCGGTAAAAATACTATCCATGGCGAAATTAACGATGAAAAAAGTGGCTTTTGGCATTGTTAAATGTATGGTCAGTCCTCCATCGAATCTTGGGCGCTGTTAGGGGCTAGAGGCTTTACATTGGTCTGTTAATTTCTCTGTTAATCATTCGGGATTGGACTTGACTAACTCTACGATTTCCCTTTGCGTCTCTGCAATCGGTTTTCGTATTTTCGTATTTTCAATATGGCAGTCGCCAGTGCGTTAACTCTATATCGCATTTGGTGATTGCGTTCGGCTTAAATGTCCAATAGGGCATTGCATCTGAGATTCAAACCTCGGGAGCGCCTTGGCACCTGCGGCTAGAAAATAACTGACTGATTACAGGAAAAGTATAGGAACGGCGACTTCGATATAGCTTGGCCTTGTCTGTATTTTTCCCGCACCTCAGCCCTGACTATAACCAGCGACTTGTTGTCAAAATAGCCTAGACAGATAGGCACTAGTCATTACCGGGATGCATATTCCGGCCATTTTTGTCTTTGGCTCTGAAGCTGCGTGCGTTTGCGTACCACTGTCATTCGAGTAGAAACAGTGTCACTTTATTAGCAGATGGGTGCCAATAACACCCGTATTTTGTCGCTCATGTCGTGGGATTTCGTTAAGGGTCAGGTACGTTTTGCTGAAGTTTCTCCGTGCATTGTTATATATAGCCCTATACAACGCGGACAAGCCGAGTAGTTATTCGCTGGTCACCTGTTTGATGCATTCCTGGTGATAGTGGTCGAGCCGAGTCTGACCGGAAGTGAACGAAGAATGAGTAGGCGGTGACATAGATTAGAGTCGTCAAAACTTCCAATGCTTCTATGCAGAATAGGGAAAAAAGGCTTGCCCATTTTTAGATATAAAACGAGCTCTGATACGCTGGCGTTTGCCGACGGCCACTGCCTCATGTATTGTCACTGTCACAAATTTCCTCTAAATTTGGAGAGTTTACTCAGCAAACATATGTTTCCAGGTATTTATCATCAGGCCAGAACAATTTCAGGGATAAGGAGAATCGTACAGTTGCACAGGGTTAATGACCGTCCTTTAATTACAACTCGTCGTTTTCACACCGTCCTCGTGGCGAGATCGCCGTGTAGAATAAATGATTCTGAGGCCTTTCAGACTGTCTATCGGACGCCAACCAACGTCTCCAAGGGCCTACACCAACAGACGCTAGCAACAGCCGGCTAGCGAATCCAGTGTTGTGCTGTCAGAAGATGCTAGCACAAGCCCTTTCACTTCCGATGTCAGGTGCGATCACATATCGCCCCCACCCTCCAGTGATAATCGTTAACTCCGTGCAAGTTACTCCACGTACCTGATCCATGACCAACGCTCATAACCTGTCCTAGTTTCCTCCCCTCCCCCAGCCTAAGGTCCGCTACGCATCCATCTCGCCATGCGGGCGGCGTGAAAACGATGAGTTGTAATCAAAGGACCCTTGTCAACCCTGTCCAACTGTATGATTTTCTTTACACCTGCTGGCTGAAAGCATATGCTTGCCGCATAAACTTTCCCCTTAAATGTTAATCTGTTTAAATTAGTTTGCCCTTTCAGGTGTTTTTAGGCCGTACTATCTAGTACGGTGAAGACTTAACCATGTTTAACATTCCACCCTCGTGTCGTCATCAAAGTTATACACTTTCGGGAGGGGGGTATGGCGGTGGGTGCTCGTCACTGTCCGTATCTGGAATCCACCGAATTCCCACCCTCCCTCATTTTAGATCTCAGTTGCCAAGTCGTTACTCGGTGGCCCCTAGTTTAGCCCTCTTCCTCATTAACAACCTAGAGCATCGCAGTAGATCCCGGAAGTGTGAATTTTTATCGGTCCTACGGGCTGTTGCTCTCCGGGAAAGCCAAATTCGGGAAGTCCACTGGCGCTTGCCGAAAGGAGCAACGGTTTCTTGTCCGCCAAGGCTTCTCCAACTCGGTCGCCGACTCCTTTTGCATGAATATGCGTCTAAATGCTATTCATACAGCTACAGGCCAGTCATGTTAACTTGCTTCCAGGGTAACTTGCTAACCGCGCTTTGATCACGTCCGCAAGCAAAAAAATTCAAATTGTTGGCACTTTTGTTGATTTAGTTTCACCTTGTGCCTTGTCGGAGTACAAAACATCGGTCCAATGTCGACGTCTCCTTTAAGTACACGTCCAAAAATGCTTTTAGAAATATTGCAATTCAAGTGGTTCAGCCATATTCTGTAATCTTTGTTAAAGTTTATTTTAAATGGAAAAGTGGGTTATCACTACCCATTACTTTCAGAATTTAGCCCCTGCGATGAAATTTTTCTGATGCAAGTCTTTCAAAATAGGCTGTAAGTGAGCCATGTAGATGTGTCCTGTAGCTAGGGCCGCCTCTGATTCTGCACTAACTTCTGCGTCGTTGGTGCCTTCTAAGTGCAGACTTCCTATCGTAAATGGATGAAAGTGCAGTAGGCATCTGTTAAATAAAGTATTGTCCAAAGTCTAGTGCAGATTGGTATCGAAGTAAAACTTGTAAAGGGGGATATCTAAGGTTTGCCGATGACATACGCATTTTGGTTAAAACAGCCACTCTGTGAGCATCTTCGATTTTATTAATAGTTCAAAAAACTAGGATCTTGCTGTGCGTGCGCTGAAGCTCCAGCTCATCATGAATAATGGAGTGTTTAATTCACGCCAATGGACATCAGTTGGCGAGGCTATTGCAAGAAACAGTCCGGCTACCAACTCAGGAATTATTTATTGTACCTAACTATCACGACCAAAGCAGTGCTTATGAGCCACTCCCCAGATTTTAGCACGTAAATTGTACCATTTTATCGAGCGGAACCTCCGCCATCTGTCGTGTTTGTTCGGCCACAATTAAAATACTGCTCATTGACATGGTCTTTAGGCCTCCTACGCGATATGGAAGTCTGGTAGAAGAAAAGAAAGCGTCCTTTCATTGGTCAGAATCTAGCAGCAGTTTCGTAAAGGTGACTTATGG